ATACATTCTATGTTTATACGCTCTTAGAATAATTGCATTAAATTGAACAGATAAATTTGTGAATGTTATAAAAGAAAACAAAATGCTTGTTATATACCTATGATACGTATGAAATATTTTTATATTTTTCTTTTCTTCTCTATAGAAGTAATACAACTACTGAACAGATAAAGTGAATGTTATAAAAGAAAACAAAATGCTTGTTATATACCTATGACACGTATGATATATTTATATATTTTTCTTTTCTTCTCTATAGAAGTAATATAACTACTCTGATATGAACATAAAAAACATTAATTGTGATGTATGTTACAATTTATATCCACTATGTTGTATATTGCATATGCTTTTAATAAAAAAAAAAAAAAAAAAAAAAACAAAACATTTGGTGAAAAAAATGTTTTTTTGGACGTTTAAGGAAGAACAACGTTGCCAGCAAATGCGTACCCGTCATGAGTGCGATGTCCATAAACAATTAACCCAAATGTTGAATGATCCGTTGTGGTTATAACATATGTACCCATTTCAACTTGAAATGTGAAAATTTGGTAGAAAATTTTTCCTACACCTCCGTGTTCTATTTTCACTAGTTTATGCTTAAAGGCATCTCCGCCGTTAATACGTAGGTTGTATTCAGAATCTATGGGAATAATCACGGTCATGAAGTTTTCTGTATATCCGTCAGGCACAGTGATCTTGTAATAATTAACATATTGATTAACTCCGGGTATGACTGTCATATGAGAGTTATTTGAATTGAATCCCATTCCAAATCCAACAACTAAAATAGGTTTTTCTGAAACTAAAAGTGTTAATTCATTATAGGATATATCTTTAAATTCGGATGCATTTGAATGCCACCTTAATGCAGAATGTAGTCCAATACTACAGTTAATAAAAGTTTGGTTTTCACTGATAACCTGTAACAATGTTTCTTTATTGTGATGCAATGAAGGGATGACATAATCATTATCTAATTCATTAGCAGGCGGCAACTCTGTTAACATGTGACTGCAGTCATTTGATAAGTCGCTCCATCTGTGACATCGATTTCCGGAAAAGACAGCTATTGGTTTTGTGGCGGAGATGAACGTGCCAGAAAGATCTGTGGTGTGACCTATTTGGAAAGTCTCTAATCTATCTAAATTGAGCAAAACGGTGTCTCCGTCTCCGTATGTATTTCCCAAGAGAGTTATTGACGAGGTCTTTTTCATTTTCAAAGTTATCGTTATCTTGGTTCGATCATGCAGAGGTAACAAAGCAAACTGACTTAAATCCATTGAGGTATCAAATGGCTCGGTTGAAGAAACAAGGTATTTAGTTGAAAGCTTATTTGTTGGTATTATCAGCGTTCCGTCGCTCGTTCCATCATTTAGACTGTCAAAAATAGTAACATTGGACACCTCTGTTGTACGTACAAATATTCCTTTTGGTTCAATCTTCATGTATTCACATTGCAAATCCAAAGGTAGAGTGATTAGAGACTCTGACGTTATATTAAATGTTTTGTCAACTGATGATTTAAGGTTCGTATCCAGGTTTGGAGAACTTGTTATTGTGACCTCTGTTTCATTTTCAGTTGTAATATAAATCGAAAGGTTCCCAGTGGACCCAGCGCGATTTCGCATGAACAGAATAAGGAATTCTCTACCTATGTTTCCTGTAAGGGATTATAAATTAAAGTCACTCGAAAACATCATTCTTACAATTCAAAAATCCAATGTTGTAGATATGAACACCAATGTTTTATCTCCTTGTTTTATGAAAAGATACGTTTACGCTGTACCTGTATATGTTTGCAATTGAGTAGGATTGGATGTCGTTGTCTTTAGCGTTGTCAAGGAGGAGGGTATACCATCACCTAATAATTATATTTGTGTTATAATATCTGATTTATATCCTACCACATGTTCTCACCTTTCTTTGTCGTATTCTCAAGAATCTTTTGCATAAGAAATTTCACAAAAATATGTATCTTAAAGATTGTAATAAATTTGAGTAAAATTTCTGTATTTAAAAAAAAGAACTCTACTAAATTTATCGGTATGTTGATATCACTGAAGGAGGAGTACGGGGCACGACAAAAAATGTGATGCAGAATCCAAACTTTAACTCATTAATTTTCTGTAATTTGCGATATTTTTCGATAATTTTCTCATATACATCTTAAAATTGTTTTATTATCATATATTTAGATCTCTGACGTGAAATTGGAAGTACTAACAGAAATATAGTGATTTTTCTCTGATGCAAGTCCTGTGAAAACAACTGTGAAAATGACGTCTCCTGAATTGACGGCGCACTACATTTTTGTTAAATTATGTGTAATGGTGGAGACATAGATCCAAAATATGCATAAATAAACATGTAGTAAACTACGGTATTCGTGATATCCGTCCACAAATAGCAAATTGAAATTTTAGACGGTTATACTTCTGTAAAAAGGTTATACGGAAGGACGGGAAGGAGAGTATCGACGAAAATTCAATCCAGACTGACCGTTTACGGTAGCTCAGTCGATAGAGCGCTCGCTCCGCGATCGGAAGGTCGTGAGTTCGTATCTCGGCCGAGACTGGCCTAGTCTTTAAAATGGGTAATAGCCGTTTCTTCGCCTTGCGCTCGGCACTTTGAAGTGAAAGTTGTGGATCCTTCGGATGAGACCTTAAAAACCGGGGCCCCTTGTCAGCGGCAGGCGTTGGCACGATAAAGATCCCTCACTGCTCAATGGCCCTGAGTGCCGAGTAAAGTTCCAAATTTGAAGCCCTTCACCGGCATACGCTGACGTCTTTTAGTAGTTAATTGAATCCATACATTTCCCATGACTTCATTTACTTACATTGAATGTTACATAGGTCCGTTAGACAGCATTTTGAACACCCATCTATATTTCTTTTTCCAAAAATGTCTACGCTTGAGGTACAAGCCTGAAAAGAAAATGAAGATACTTTACAAAAGGTGTTATGAGGAATTTTGTAATGACAATCTATTCAGTTAATTGATATATAATTCGACAAATAAATTACAGTTTTATACTGATAAAACATGTCTGATAAAATCTTGAAATTGAGTTTGAGGGATTGTACAAAATATGATTAATATTTACTTGATGGTAACAAAACTTGGTAGAAACTTACAAAAAGAATAAGAAATCTTATGAACAATACTATGGAAGATATACACACAATGTAACATTTTTAAAAAATCAAAGTATCTCTATATATCCCGCTTAATATAATTAATTTTAAAATATCATTCTTACTTTAATATTGAAAACTTTCTGTTCATATTTATAAAGAAAGTTTTGAAACGAAGCAAAGTTTGTTTTTGTCATAAAGGACATGAAAACACTTTTATAATACATGATGCGTTTAATATACAGAAATCGAAATGAAACATGTTCCTTCAGCATTTCTTTAACTAACTGATGTGTATTCAATGAAGAATGCATAATTTCCCTTCTTACCTGTTTATTGATGCAACTGTATGTGTAATGCAAGTTTCCAGACTCAACCTCTTTCTGCAGATAGCATGCCTGTATTCAATATATAGAGAATAATACATACCTATTTCCATGTCACATCCTGTATTAGCCAGAGACAACAATATTGGTCGAGGGCTGGCACTGGATGTATTGAGGAAAAGGGTATGTTCTATTACGTTTTATACGTACGTATTATTGAAATACATTACACATTAGGTTGAGAAAAAAAAGTAGATAATCATTCACAGACTTCCTATATGTACAAGGTCTTTTGTCTCACATTGTTTGGGTTTATTTTTACAAGTACTCTATTTAAAATGTAGGAGTGGGAAATTGAAAAGTTCAAAAAACTTAGAATTGATAACATGTTATCAATTTGAATAAAATTTATGACTTTCATGTCAATAAAAAATGATTCATATATACATATCGGGAGATCATCTTATTTTATAACGTAAAAACACGGAAATGACGACAGAATCCGTTGTTTCTAGTATACTAACCATAAAATTGATGTAAATAGAGAATTTTTGTTGAAAACCCGATTGCAAATCAGATTCTTATTAAATTAATAATAGTAACCTATACAAAGCTGATACCTGATTAACTTCGCATACTTTCAGTTTGTCACAAAGAGTTGGATCTGATATGTTTTGACAGTCAAAACAAATAGGTCCTCGATTTGACGGATATCCTGTAAAATATCACATACAGGTATGATTTTTTTATTAATTTTATATATATATATATATTATATTTTAAGGTAGTTCTATACTCGGCACTAAATGGGCTCAATCTTTTAAAATCTGCTTTTATAAGATAGACATACATCCCAGCAATGGATAGACACAAGAAAAATGATATGTCAACGTGTTCACTTTTCCGCTATAGCCTATCGGAGTATATACCCCGAAATGTAAAAGACTGAAAATTTACCTACCCTAGACTTTGTTGTATATAAATTAATTAAAGTCTAAATATTCAACTTTAATACCCAAAATAGAGTAGAAACATGTTAGTAAACAATATGTAATCCTTGTTTTGCATGAATTATCATAAATAGATGCACTTTGTTAGGCTATTGTATCAAAATTTAATGTGAGAAAATATGCTTCACAGGACAATCTCGGTCATTTAAAAAAAATTATGGACTCAAACTTCGTAAATTTACATTATTTTTACTAAATTATATTTAAGAAAAAGAATAAGCTGAAAAAAATTATATGTTGACGCATTACTTTTCGTGGTATGAGCTCTACACTAAAGGGACCCCCCTAATTTCTTTCTTCCAGAAGTAATATATTGCCACATATTCTTGTAATACTGTTAATGTTTGAGTGTATACTTGTATTAACAAAGTTGTACATAATTTAAAACAATAATTATACACACCCAAAACCTATTGTCCCTAAAATTTATCTTATTTTACTAAAAAAAAAATAAATAAATAAAACACAGTAAGTCTTGTCTGTAAATTGGAGACGATGAAAGTAATTGACTGATTCTCAGAAACTGGATGATTTTGTTACAGAAAGTAACTAAGTATGCTGCAAGTGAGTCAACTTTTGTTAAATACTTATATTTAAAAGAAAATTTTGCATTGGGATTCGTGAGTAAGCAGGTTGGGGGAGGGGGGTATGCGTTTAATGCAATAATTATTATTCAAAGTAAATTTTGTAATGTTTGATAAGTAAAATCCATAAATTGTCTAATCAAATCGTAGTCATTACTTTTCTTCCGAATTATCACTATTAGCTTAAACTTGGCCGCCGACAATAGTCGCCACGATAGTTTTATACATGTTCTGATGTAGCATGTCCATGATCCGTGTTTTCGGCGCGGCATATAAAACATGCATCATTCACAGAAATATCGTTTTATTACCTAATTATTTCTGTTAACCGAAAGTTGTTCCCAGCCTTCTCTTATTTTATTAATTTATCCTTAAACTGCAGAATCTGTGTTTGTTGACGCGACCGACTTCCAGCAAAATCGTTACCGGATATTTAAAACGCTAAGTAAAAGTGAAACCTATACAGTTAAAAAATCTCATTTCGGAAAAAGGAAGCGCGGTTCCGGTTTTACTATTCGTAAGTGACGTAGTGCGAGTATAGAACTACTTTAAATATAACCTTTATTTTGTTATTTGTTGTAGACTAAGGTAATGGAAAATATTATGTAATTTATACTTTGGAAAAACATGACAATTTATAACATTGCAACGTCTTAATGCTCTTTAATTGTATAATGTGTCTTAAGAACATGTTCTGAATCACGTTTTCTTTGTTATTGCATTATCAGGTGTGATAAATGCATTCAAAATAGCGCAGGTATATCTTTCTTTAAAGGTAAGGCCATTTTGCTACATTTATTATTATAATGTTAATTGAACTTGAAACAGAATTTGACACATCCGTTTCATGATTGGATTTATTACTAGAAATAGACATTTATCCTTCTCTTACAGCAAAGCTTTATGATGACATTTCAATCGTCATTACCTTTATCATCAGCTTACAGGACTTATAATCCTTGGTTGATTTTATATGCAAAAGCATGTTCCTCACTCCTCATAGACACCTGACTCTACCTCTGATGTGTCAGAGGTCCGTGTTTTAATTGCTCTGCTCCTATTTTGTTCTGTATTATGGCCTTTCTGATTGAAGTATTGCCACATTCATCTTTCTTGTATGAACAATTCCTAAAAAGAGGTTAATAATTGGCAAACAAGTTGATGAAACAGCATTCTAGCAGTTTCGTTAATAGTCATCATTTAGTAAGTTCTATGGTTGATACAACGACCTTGTCAGCAAAAACACCCTATCATTGAACTGGAACTCATAAAATCAAATACAGGCTGATTTTTCCCATTCTTAGTGTTCGACTATATTAACACACTGAATTTACAAGGGATTTGTTCATCATTTCCAGATCATGATATAACACAAGGCGGGTGTGACTGGTCGGCAGGGGATGCCCAGTCCTCTATGGATTGGTTACCACATCTGATGTATTTAAGCTCCATGCTTTCTTTGCTCCTGATTTCTATACTAACTTTTGAGCTTAAACACTGTTTTTATTACGTGTTTTTTATTTTGCTTAGAGAAATATAAAAATACCGAGCACTTCTCATGCCAAAAGTCTATTTAACATCCAAATATAAAACGACAATCACAGATCTAAAAAAACATCGGAGGTGAAACAGTATGGCATGGAGAAAAAGGCATAATTATTACCTGGTCACAATGTTCACGTACTGTTACTTTTGATAGGGCATCATAAAAAAAATCAACGCATGTATGGAACTATAAACAATGTCAAACCTGATTGAGAACATCCTTTGTTGTTGCACAGAGGAGAAGAACAACATTCCATACACAGGGTATGGTGGTGCAGTGGATCAACTACGTGATTATTGTTATGACCTAATCCACAAGCCTTGAAAAGTTCCACAACGATACTTGTATAAAGTCACAAATATTTCTGAAATCACTTTTGATAATATTTCGGAGTTTAAATAAGAAAATGCAAAATGTGGAAATTAAAATATTTTAGAGAAATAATTAAGCGAGCTAGGCACTTTATAAACAGAAGAACTGACTTACTCAAGGTAGTCAGAATTATTGCATGCACAAATGACATTAACCATTGATTTTTATCTGCGACAGACTAACTGATAAAATGAGCTACCTTAAATCGTACAATCTGTATTCAAAAGTATCAAAGTCTAGTACTCATGTTATAGTCAAACGTTACCTGGGAAGATTTACAGCCGGTGTCAAACAAAACTGTTCCATTTCCTGACGTATGACTTTTCGTAAAGCAAACCTGTTCATGCCAGAATTGTAATTTTTATACAATATACATGTATATGTATTGAATGAAGGAGCATTTTGAAAAGTTTTTAATTATCTTTCTATTTGAAAACAACGTCAATTTTACAGCAGTGTATGATTGAACGTAATTAATTTTTGAAATGGTGGAATTACCTCTCCGTCATTACATTTTCTGACTGTAGAACAATATCTCGGAGGAATATCATTAGTACAGGACAAACAGTATAAAGCAGCTGAAAAAAACAAGATGTCAATATTGTATTGCTATTGTATAGGAATTTCTTTTTTCATCTGGTGATCAGAATATTTTCTATCCTTACATTATCGTTAAGTGTGGAAAGTTCAGAATCTTGTAATACTTGGACATATATTTTGTTAATTTGTCAGTGTTGTGTAGGCTTTTGAGATATAATGGTGCTTCAAGCAATGCAAGACAAGCAAAATTTAAGGGGGTTAGAAATATAATAATTTTATAGAAGACCAACTAACAACAGAAAGAGTTAGATTAACATCCCTTTTGAACTGCCACCGCGGCGTTCCTGTACCAATGCAAGATTTGATATTCAAAAAACCGCTGACATCTCTGTCAAAATTTGAGTATTTAAACATAAAGTTTTATATGCTTTACGGTGCGACCGTTGGGGCGAGCGCAGTTGTACCATCAAATACGCTTGAAAAAATCAATCAGCTACTTTGAACGTCAAGCCGCACGAGACATCTCGACTACCTGTGACGACGTCACACAGCTCCTCGGAGCTTACGGAGACAGCCGAGCGTCTGTTTGAAATTATGGAACTAGTGCAATTTTTGTCGAAAAACATTGCAGAGTTATTTTTTGTTTCTATGAAAGATTTCTACAAACTGAAAGCCTGATATACATGCCTTAGGTTATTATTTATTTATTTATTCGCGCAAAGGACATTGGGTAGTGCAGGAATTCTTGGAATGTTTCACAACAAAATTTGCTTGACGTATGTACAATCCCGAATTTCCTATGTTCTTAAACGTAAGTCTATTGAACTCCCTTCGCGAGCGTCGCTTTGCGACGCTCGCTGCGCTCGCTATTGCTTACTCAAGAATAAGATTATAAACATTCACAAAATGTTCAGAATTCATTTTTAAGGTTTTCCTCGATTAATTCAAATGAAAGACCGTTTTAGTTTCGATGGGCCTGATATTAAAAAGAAGGCGTTGACGCTTTGTCAGAAAGGATGAAACTTAACAGATCTATGTTAAAATTGCTTATTTCAAGATTGAGGGTCAGTATGACAACCAACTGTCCTTCTGTGTTCAATAATCTAGAAGTGAAAAAAAGAATTAGATAAATTACTTTATCATTACATGCTGGCCCCTGCCGATAAAGCAGGTAGCACCATTGTCTTCGTTTGTAAGGTTCATTATAATTTTATTTTAGAAAATCTTGGATTTAATTCTGCAAGTGATATCCTACTTATACTCATACTTCCCTTTCTAGGAAACAAATTCCCAAAATCATATGTCAATATATTGAATATTTTTTTAAAATTTCATAGAGCCAAAAGAAATTTAAAGTACCATATATATATAGGATTCCAAAACTTCATAAAAAATTCCTACAAACAAAAATACATTGCAGGTTCCAGTATGTGTTCAGTGAAGCATTTTTCGTTACTCCTCACTACCATATTGACAGAAATGAAGGCAAAAACTTTAAGAGAACTGTACAACAATATATTCAAGAAGTAATATGAATCAGATGTGGATGCTAAAAAAGTCCAAAGAACTTTTGGGCAATTTGAAATCACAAGATTTTACCAAAATTAACAATTTAAAAACGTACGATTTTTAAACTTTATACACAACTATTTCCCGGGATAAATTAAGTCAAGGCTTTTTGATATCATTGACAGCTGCCTTTTCAGTTTAACACACATATTGCATACACAAGTACTTTGATTTTGACATCAAAACGATGCTTGAATTTCTGATTGACAATATCTATGTGGTTTTTGGAGATCGTCTTCCAACAAACTATTGAAAGAAATCCTATGGGTACCAATTGCGCTCTGAAATTAGCAGAGCTATTTCTGCCCACTCCTCCATGACACCTCATCCAACCTCTGATGTTTCGGATGTACGTGTTCGCTCT